CAGGTCCTAATCCCTGGAACCTCTGAATGTGACCTTATATGGCAAGAGGGACTGCGATGTGATTAATTTAAAGCTAGCAAGATGCAGAGATTAAGCAAGTGAGCCCCAAATCTAATCACAGGTGCCCTTATAGAGGGAGGTCTGACTACAGATGAGGAGGGGCAATATGATGATGGAGCAGAGCCTGGAGTGAGGTGCTCTGAAGACAGAAGAGGGGAACCACAAGCCAAGGCCTGCAGGCAGCCACCAGAATCTGCAAAAGACAAGGAGGCTACAGAAGAATCCGGCCCTGCCAGCACCTTGACTTTAGCCTTAAGGATCCAATCGTTGGCTTCTGACCTCTAGAACGTCAGAGAATAAACCTGTGTTGTTTTGAGCCAACCCCTTTGTGATGACCTGTTGCCGCAGACAGAGGCTGGCACTCCAGGGACGAGCTGAGCTGGGTGTGCCACCTGAGGATTTCCTGTCACCCCACGCCCCCTCCTGGGTCAGCTGCTCCCTGCTTCTCCTGGGAGAGTAATGAGCTGGAGACCACGGCTCTGTTGGACTCTGATCCACAAGGCCAGGATCCACTGCCTTCAGTTTCCATAAAATCGCCACCGTTAGTGTGATTACCTCCGCTTGCGATGACCATGTTCTAAATGACAGTCTTCAGAGAGGAACACGGGAGCTTGCAAAGATGCACCCAGCACGGCCTGCTGCTCTCCCTCCAGCTCAGGTTCACGGTCCCCCTCCTCATTTCCACGGCTACCACCCTGACCCAGGTCAGCACCGTCTCTCACCTGGGCCTCTGCAATCACCTCCTGCCTGGTCTCCCAGCTTCCCCTTCATGCCCACCTTCCTCAACTCACTAATCCTCCAGAAAGATCTTCTAAATCATAAACTGCGTCTGCCGACGTAACCTGATGCTCAGACTCCACGCCAGGCCGACTGCATGAGAACCTTGGGGCGGGGACCAGGCTGTGGTGTCTTTCCAAGCTCCCCAGGTGATGCCGATGGAACTGCCTGGAGTGGGTGATGACAGGGGGCATCTCTGACCCACACCCTCAGCTGTGCCCCCATGTTTAGAACACCTGCTCTTGGAGGTGGAGGGCCTTACCCTGAGTGTGTTAAAGCTGAGCTGTCTGTAGCGTGGCCTAACATTTCCCCCTCACGTCCCAGGCTGTGGTAAGGCTCACATGAGAAGACGAGTACAAAGGGACAGAACTGCTTTCTCCCCTCCCTTCCCCTCTTCTCTCTGTCCCCCTTCCCTTCCCCCTCCCTCAGCTTTCCATCCCTCTTTTAAAGGTCTCATAAAGGATGAATGTCTGGTGGTAGCTCACTAAATGGCTGTAGGTTCCTCCCCGGGCCCGAAACATGAACTTCAATTCAGCCTCTCCCATACAGCCAGGAGTGCACAACTCTTACAGAAATGCCCCTGGCTCCCAGGGTTGCAGGCACAGAGAGCCTTGCATGGCTGCACCCCAACACAAGTAAACAGCTTCCTTTAGTCAGGCAGGGCGAGAGCCAGTATTCCTGGACAACTGTGGGCCACAGACCACAAGCCTGCATCTGGGCTTGTCCAGCCCCACTCATTTTACAAGTAGGAAACTGAGGCTTAGAGACATATCACTGCCCATGGAGAGCACCAGGGGGCTCTTGACAAGTGGCCTCCGGCAGCCACTGGCAAGGCCTGCCCCACCTGGGCCTGGAACAGCTCTCAGACCAGGGAGGGACCCCTGATAACACCGAGGACCAGCTTTGGGCTGAAAGGGTGAGGATTCTGGTTGGCCTCGCCGATGTGATGTCTTGGTGGACAGACCGAGGACTGGGCGGGACTCCCCCCCACCGCCACTTTTGCTCTCAGCACACAAACCTGGCAACGTCCTGAGTCTCCGCACCCCCAACACATCTGGGAGGTGGAGGGAAAGTGGGACGGGAGGGTGTGTTTTGGGATCACCTTCACCACGGGGGGCAAGATTCTTACCAAGTCAGTCCCCGTGTGGAAGGGCTCTAGAGAAGTATGACTTTTTTTTTTTAACAATTTAAGCTTGAGAAAGAACCTGGAGAGGGTCCCTGTGCTTCCAGAATTCCTCTTTCACATTTTCTGAGCTACTTTGCAAACTGCCGCTCTTTGGCAGAGAATTACCAGTCTGCTTGCTTGTTTTTGCCAATAGCCCTCTCCGTCTCCTCCACACCAATAATGACCGTCAGGATGCTGCTGGAGATGAGCCTCCCCCAGGTCCGGAATGTGCATTATGGTACCCAGAACATTTTTACGCACATCATCGCGTGGGAGCTCTTCATCCTGGGGAGGCAGAGTGGGAAGCGCTGTAGCCTCCATTTCCCCGTGAGGCCACGGGGGCCGAGAAGAGGTTTGTATGGTGATCTGCATCAGAACCTTCCTTACACCAGCTCCCTGCTGTTACCTTCCTGTTGTACTAACAGGAGATATGGCATCGAGCTGGCTTGCTGAACTGAAGTAGGAGCCCAAGCCTGACCCTTCCTTTGCCTTTGTCGTTTCCCTTTTTGGGGGGAATACAACCTTGGTTAATTATAACCAACCACACCGCATCCCCAGTTTCCTACGGAGTTTGCTCTATTTTGGCAATTGCTGTTCTCTGCGCATCCATGTGAGAAAGAGTATGAGTTACCGGTACATGAAGACAGGAAACAAAATAATACTGAGTGGATTTTTAAATTTTTCAGACACTAGGGGCCTGTCTTTGTGACTCTTTGTCCTCTTCCAGAGGAATTTCCAGATGCCAGTCTTAATCCTCCAACGTGCTGTGACCCTGGGTACGGGAGCTTGGTCAAAATATTAAAAATATGTGCCAGTGAATATCAAGAAGCAAAACTATATACAAGTGAGAAATGGGGTTACTTCTTGGCTGACTGAATGGGTCAGAATGGTCACCGAGCACTGGCTGATGAAGTATCAGTGGCTTATGGGGGAAGAAATTTTAAAAAATCAGTATGTTCCATGTCACATGAGTGGTATTAGAAAGAAGAATGTTATAACAGTATCTTGTTGACATAGAAAACAAACTTATGG